CGAGCCACAGTTTTCTGACCCCTGGCAGCTCTTCCGTCTCAAAAGTTTGCCGACCCCAGATCTAGGAAATTGATCCATTTCCTGTTGGGATTGTCAGCCAGTAAATATTTTTGAGGACAGACCTGTCCACAAATGCCCAACAGTATAAAGGCATTGAGGTAACCAGGTTTGGATAATCAAGCTAACAGAGCATTAGAGCATTTCCGTGTTTTAAATTACATCCCTAGATCTTTATGTCTGCTTCTTGTTTATACCCTATTAGAATGTCATGATTCTAAGAAAGACAGGAAAATGGGGGAGGGAGGAGTTATGTGAGTTAAAGAATAGGAAATGGCAGTTTTGAACTCTTTAAAATCTAATTTTCTTTTCTCCCACAAAGGCAGCAGCTTTGGCATCTCTGAAGAAGTACGGTGTGGGGACTTGTGGACCTAGGGGATTTTATGGCACATTTGGTACGTTTCTGTTGTATTTCTCAGACCACTACTTTCAAGAGTGAAGATTCCATTTGATTTAAAACTGATTTAGAAAGATACCTTAATTAGTTGTGGTGTGAAGCTGATGAGTGCTGTTTCTTACCTGACTTTCTAGAACATCGTATGTTTGGAACCATTGGCGGGAAGTACATTGGTCTGGGTTGAATGTCACTTGAGGAGAGCCATAGGTACATGAAGTGGGTAGCTCATAGGTCAGAGCCTGAGCTGCTGTGCATGTGCCCCAAGGGACAGTGGTGTGAGGAGACACAATTTGCTTCTGTAGTGCATGATAGTTGTAAGGGGAATGGTTTTGTGGCGGGTGGTGCTGCTCCTCACTGTTATGCAGGAGTCTACATCTTCCCCAGTCTTTGCTGGAGTGCTGAAGGTTATCATCTTTGGCCATCCTGGCTGCAGCCAGGTGGGAGGTATGGAGGAACAAGAGCGCGGCAGCAGTGCCCCTTCAGGCCGACAGGTGGCGATGCACATCGCTGCCCACATTCCACTGGCGAGACCATAACCCTGGCCAAGACCTCCTTTCTGCAAAGGGGGCTGGAATAGCTCTAGCTGCGCATGCCGGGAAGCAAGGCAAGAACAGACTGGGAGGCAGTCGACTATGTAGCTCTTTCCTTTCTGGAATGAAGGTGAAGAAGCATAGATTTCCTTGTGTGCGGGTGACCCTGGGACGGGCTAACTAAATACTAGGATGAGTGTGATTTCACACACTATGAACTTCCTGAGAATTGTCGAAGTCGACCCTGGCATTTTGTGGTTGTGCTTATCAAATGTATATTGTTCTTTGCTTCTGCAAATTTTGAAAATGATAAATAATTGTTCAAGTGAATATGTATTACCGGAAATAACATTCTGGCTTACAAAATGTCAGAGTGTGGGGAAGTAGAGCTAGGGAGGTCTCTTTTGTCTTCTGTCCCCATTTCTGCTTCCACGTATGTCTTTGTGTGTTTGGTTTTTTTTCACTTTAACTGTGAAGATGTTTTTATTTAAGAGAGCACCTTTGTTTATTCCTTAGCCAGTTTAGTGGTTAAATTATTTGTATTTGGAAACAGATGATAGGAGTTAGTATCCAAGAATCCTTAAGAAAGGTTCTTAAAAACCGTGTTTTCCAGCATCCCCCAACTATTCATAAGAGGAATAGAAATCCCAGAGAGGTTAAATGACTTCCTCAGTCACACAGCTCATTAACCTCAACCCTAAAACTAGAAACCAAGTATGCCGACTCCCAGTTTTAATGACAGGACCAAAAACTTAGAAAAGCTCAGATCAGTCTCCTTCTTCCCTCTATCTTAGTGCAAACATTGTTGTTTACTTGGTTTTGATCAGTAGGGAATGATTTCCTTGATAAATATTAGAAAACTAGAAATGGTATTTTTTATGGGATTGTTTGTTGTAATCTAATCAACAAAGCTTTCTTTGTGTGATATGCTTGCTGGGACACAGTAGTTGCTTTCCTAAACGCCTCTCTTTCTGGTGGGTTTTATATGCGTGTATGGCCTTGGCCCCTGCATGGGAGTTAATCTGAGATGACAGATAAGAGATTTATTGCTAAAAAAAAAAAAAGATTTATTGCTGAATCAAGTCATGAAAAACAAATGTTCTAAATCTTCAAGACCAGTTTTCCCAGAGCTGTGGAAATGTATTGTTAGGATAGCCCAGTGAGCTTTCCGTTTGTATCACCTGAAATTTAATATGTATAATAGGATGCTGTATGCTTCCAAACGTGGGGTCTTTAGATGAATGGCTTTTAAATTAATTTTCTTGACTGAATAACTTAATCCATGATATAAACTTCCAGTGGTTTATAGAGACAGAAAGTGAAAAGTCTTCTCTTTCCCACCACCATCCCATCCCTCAAAAAAGACAGCTATTGGTGTTTCTTGTTATTTTTTCCACTTTTTTTAAGCATATGCAAACCATTGGATTTGATTTTTCAGGTGTGTGAACCGACCACCAGAGGCAATATAATGAACGTGCTATTGTGTATCAACTCCTCTGTAAATGGCTTTACTAGTCACTGTCTCATCTTTATTCTAATGATAGTTGAAGCTTCAAACAGACCATGATGTCTGGCAAAGGTTGAGAGTTAGTAATTTGCAGTGCTTCTGAAACAAGACACCAAACTTACAGCTTACAGTAATGTGTAATGTTTTCTAAGTACATTGCTCTTCCGATAAGCTTGTCTCGTTCCTTAACAGTTGCCCATGTTTACTTATCATCTTTTTCCTTTCTTTAGATGTATATTGTCCATATTTTTCCCTTTTGGTTTTCCAAGAGGATACTTTCTACGTTTTTTCTATTCTGGATATAATCACTTAAATAATAGTTATATTAAATTGCCCTGAAATTTCAGTGTTAGGTAAGATCAGAGAAGCTACTTGAGCTCAGTAAGGCTAAATTTTAAACCTCTAAAATGCCCTATACAACTAACTTATCCTGCACATTTAGGGTTCATTTGCCCTTTGCACTGAGCAATAAAGCAGACTTGAGGACCCCTTTCCTCTTGTTTGTAGTTGCTTGTGGATTCATGAGGCCTTAGGGTCTTTTTCCCTGGATCCCCAAAAGGTTGCCTTTTGTCTTTTTTTCCTGGAAGTATCACATCTTTTTCATCTGTTTTATTGCATCTGTTTTCAAAGATGAAAATACTCCCTCTTTTAGGTCTTTTTTCAACTTTTCAGGTAATGAATGTAAATCATTTATAAAAGTACATTTGCTGATTAAAACATTCTTTTTATTTCACAGTGCAATATTAGATGATCTTAGATGATTAACATAAAAAAAGAAAATCAAACAATAGTTGAAGCAAAAAAATCATCTAGTTTCTTAGGCGAAACATTCTGCTGCCCCCTAAATACTTGGCAGGTATTGTAGAACTAAAGATTTTATGAAATCTCCTAAGGACATGTGATAAGAAGTTGTTCCACTGTTTCATTTTATTCTTTTAATGTGTATTTTAGAACTGAGCAAGTGGTTTTATTAGATTGTGGAGCCTTCCTTTCCTCTAAGGCTAAGGGGGTCCCTGTGTACTTTGGTAGTTGCTCTTGTTAAAAACTTCTTTATTTGTTTTGTTTATAATACGTTCGGATCTCATTTACCTGTGGTTTGTTGCTGGTGCCCAGGATCTGTTTGACATATATAATACTTGCTTGGCTCTTTAGTCTTAAACTAGATCAAAAGTCAATTAGTGGCAGGGTTTCATGGTGAGAGAGAGTGGCATTTAATTGTGTTTTAAAGGCAACAGTAAATAATTGTTTATTTTTAAATATACTTCCTTTTAGAGCAGTCAACTGAACCATGACTGCATGTTTTTAAATTAATGTTTATTAAGTTTATTGGGGTGACAATGATTAGTAAAATTACATAGGTTTCAAGTGTACAATCCTGTAATACATCATGTATAGATCACATTGTGTGTTCACCACTCAGAGTCAGTTCTCCTTCTATCACCATATATTTGACTCCCTTTACCCTCTCCTACCACCTCTTTCCCCCTTACCCTCTGGTAACCACTAAATTGTTGTCTGTGTCTGTGAGTTATTGTTTCTTTGTCTTGTTTGTCTTTTGCTTTCAGTTTTATTATCTCACATATAACTTAAATCATAACTCTCAGCTCTTTCTGTCTGACTTATTTCGCTTAGCATAATAATCTCAAGATCCTGGCCGGCTGAGTGACTCAGTTGGTTAAGAGCTCGCTCAAGAGTGCGAGCTCTGAGCAACAGGGTTGCCGGTTCGATTCCTGGCCTGAGCTGAGCTGCCAACAGGTGGCAGGATGGCTCAGCTAAAAATAAATAAATAAATAATCTCAAGATCCATCCATGTTGTCACAAATGGCAATATTTCATCTTTACATACAGCCGAGTAGTAGTCATTGTATATATGTACCACATCTTCTTTATCCAGTCATGTACTGGAGGACACTTCAGTTGTTTCCCTGTCTTGGCCACCATGAATAAAGCTGCAGTGAACATAGAGTATGTGTATCTTTACAGATAAATGTTTTCAGATTTTTGGGGTAGATACCCAGAAGAGGAATTGCTGGGTCAGATTGTAATTCTATTCTTAATTTTTTGAGGAATGTCCATACTGTTTTCCATAGTGGCTGTACCAATCTACATTCCCACCATCAGTGTATGAGGGTTCCTTTTTCTCCACAGCCTCTCCAACAGTTGTTATTACTTGTCTTGTTGATAATATCCATTCTAACAGGTGTGAGGTGATATCTCATTGTGGTTTTGATTTGCATTTCCCTAATAGCTAGTGAAATTGAGTATCTTTTCATATATCTGTTGGCACTTATATATCTTCTTGGGAGAAGTGTCTGTTCAGGTCCTCTGGCCATTTTTTTAATTGGATAGTTTTTTTGTTTGTTTTTTTTCAGTTGTATGAGTTCTTTATATATTTTGGATATTAGCCCCTTATTGGAGATGTTGTTTGCAAATACACTCTTCCATTTGGTTTGTTGCCTCTTTGTTTTGTTAATAGTTTCTTTTGCTCTGTAGAAGTTTTTTAGTTTGATATAGTCCCATTTGTTTATTTTTGTTTCCCTTGCCTTTGAGGTCAAATTCATAAAATCCTCTCTGAACCCAAGGTACATAAATCTAGTACCTATGCTTTCTACTATACAATTTATTGGGCCGGCCGAGTGACTCAGTTGGTTAACAACTCACTCAAAAGTGTGAGCTCTGAGCAATAGTAGTTCAAGTTCTGGCCTGAGCTGAGTTGCCGCTGAGCTACAAACAGATGGCAGGATGGCTCAGCTTATATAAAAAAAAAAAAAAAAAAAAAAAAAAAAAACCTCATCCCTTACTATACAATTTATTGTTTCAGGTCCTATATTTAGGTCTTTGATCCATTTTGAGTTCATTTTGTTATATGGTGACAGATACTAGTCTAGTTTCATTCTTGTGCACGTGGCTTTTCAATTTTCCCAGCACCATTTATTGAAGAGGATTTTTTTTTTCTCCATT